TCTCTCTCTCTCTCTCTCTCTCTCTCTCTCTCTCTCTCTCTCTCTCTCTCTCTCTCTCTCTTTCTCTCTCTCTCTCTTCAATCTTGTGAACTTTCTTCCTTGTTTCCATGTCAACTTTTGAAATATTTTCTTGCCCGATTTATTTTCTTTCTTGCTTGATTTTGCCTGCTTTCTTCCTCACGATTTCAATATATAGTATCTTTCTTTTATCATCATTGTTCTTCCTTTCCAAAAATTATAAGAAGACAATTAAGTACATACCATAAAATATAGTAAGAGAATATCAAAATTATGAAAAGAAAATATATATAATCTTCTAATGAATCTGATATCTTTTCTTTCTCTCTCCTAAACCCCATTTCTCTTAAATCGCCAAAAGCCCTAATCATAAATTCCATCTGTGGTGCCTCCCTCCGTCTGGCGGAGGCACCATACCTTCGCGATAAGACCGGCTCCAGGGTCATGGATATTCTCGAGCGTGTCGTCGCTCTTCTCAGCCGTCGTGGTGTCTTCTCGTTCGCGGATGACCATGGTGGTTCTAAGGTAGCGTGGGCAGTGCTCCGGCAAGTATGCTGCGACGAGCGTCTCTGCCGTGTTGCAGTGGAGAGGTGGTGGTCGGCGCTGGTCTTTGACCTCTTTCTTCTGGCTTTTCTGTGGTGTTTGGAGAAGCATGTTCTTCGACGGGAGCGCTTGTGATATGTGGTCGGGCTCGCCGATCGTGTGGGGGTCAAGAGTGGCGCAAGTTCCAGGTGTTGCCTCTGTGGTGTCATCCTTGTGGAGTGGGTTGGTAGTGACGGTCTGGTAAGAGGTTAGCAGGTGTTGGGCTCCCTCGATATCGCATGTGCCGTAAATTGACTCTTTCAGTTTGGGTTTCTCTTGGGGTTTGGTTCGAGTGGTGAAGTTGTGGTGTTGTTGCCCGGTCGTGGGGAGGGTTTTATTTCATTATTTTTCTAGTAATAGTAGTAGCTTTGTGTGTCTCCTGTTTTTTTTTGTGTTTTCTCTGTGTATTTTTGGATGTATTCTTCTGTTGGGAGTCATGTTCTTCTCCTGTTGGGAGTTTTTTATTATCGTTGTGCGTTGTGGTGTCTAGGCTTCCCTTTGGGATGTCCTCTCACTAGATTCAGCTTTTGGTCGCTCGTCTTCAGCCGCTAATGGTTGTTTCTGGATTGTATTATGTGTTTTAGTTATAAAATGTCTAATGTTCGCAAAAAAAGAAAGATCATTAATTCCAAGTACACAATATGAAAATAACTAAGATATGGAAAGTTAAGATGAAAAAAATCTTTCATTTCTCTTCAAGCATTAATTCTATGTTATATATTTCAAGAAACACAAATATGATAAATAAATATTATTTTCGATTAATGTCAAATTCGATTTTTCCCATG